TATTATTACCTCCGCCAGGGGCATGCGGGGGTTATGTTTTCACCGGTCGAGTTTTTGAGTGTTGGTTTGTGTGTTTGTGTGTTACCATGCACGTTTCAGTTCACTTCCGCTAGGTGCGCTGGCTGTAGACTTACAAACACGCAACCACGGGCTAAGGGGCAACCACAGTCCTCCCCACCTGCACGCTCGCACTAATCCGGATCCAATTAATTATTTAATTAATTAATTAATTAATTAATTTTTCCACTTAATTAATTAATTTATTAATAAACAATTTTACATTGAGAGAATTCAGCTGCCTTGGCGGAGGTCTGTGCTCTCCGAGTGCTCTAGTTATTATTAAAATTACTTTAAAAATGCATCATCATATATAGGCATCATTGCCGTTATCATCATATATCCGGCTGAGGTAATAAACTTGGCGAAGGGAAAGGCTGATTGACATGGTTACGCCACAGGTTCCCCGTATATATATGCCTGCAATGATGTATGTAGACATAGCCCATTAAAGTCAACAAGCAATTTATTACGCAGCAGCTCAAGCGCCGTAATCAACACCACGTTGCAGTGTGGCGTCGTGGCATGAAGCTCTAATCGCAGCAACTATGTGAATCTGAGCCAATTTTACGAACGACTTCATAACCGGCACCGCGTCTTCCACGGCGCCCCCTCCCTCTACATCCCTCGCTTGCTCCCCCTACATCCCTCGCTTGCTCCCCCAACCTTCCTCGCTTGCTCCCCCGACCTCCCTCGTTTGCTTTCCCGACCTCCCTCGTTTGCTTTCCCGACCTCCCTCGTTTGCTTCCCCGACCTCCCTCGTTTGCTTCCCCGACCTCCCTCGTTTGCTTCCCCGACCTCCCTCGTTTGCTTCCCCGACCTCCCTCGTTTGCTTCCCCGACCTCCCTCGCTTGCTCCCCCTACCTCCCTCGCTTGCTCCACTAACCTCCCTCGTTTGCTTCCCCAACCTCCCTCGCTTGCTCCACTAACCTCCCTCGTTTGCTTCCCCAACCTCCCTCGCTTGCTTCACCGACCTCCCTCGTTTGCTTCCCCGACCTCCCTCGCTCACCCCACCCCACGTCGTCTTTATTCTCGCTTGCCTTGCCAACCCTCATTTCTCTCCGCCCCACCATCCTCACTTTCGCCTTCCTCAACCTTATTGTTTGCCACCCACCTCTCGCTCCTCCAACTCACTCGCTTGCCTCCCCCACACCTCGGGAGTCTCACTCGCCCCTCGCTGCCTCACTCACCCACTCGCTTGCCTACCCCACCTCTCTCACGTCTCAATCACCCTATTCCTTAACGTCTGCAACCCTGCTCGCTCGCATATGCATGCCGCCATGTTCGAATGTTCAATCGTTCATCTCTCACTCATTCCTCTGTCGCCTCCTCTCCCACTCGTCTGCCTCCCTCGCCCTCCTTCGTTTCCTCCCATTTCCTTTCTGAGGACGCGCAACTCTATTTATACGTTACGGATCGTTGCATAACGTCGCCACGTGTCTGCGCCAGTAACATCAGCCTCCCAGAGCGCCTCCGATTCGTCTTCTTGCCAGCGATGAGCTGTTTGTTTTTGCATCCCGTATTACGAACCCGTAAGCGGTTTCGCATGCGGCGCTGTGCGGGGGAGTAGATCGCCGAGCCGTCCTACCGGTGTTCGGCGGATGATGAGACCATGCACAGCTGCCGTCATATGCTTAACTGCCGGAAGATGCGGCGCGGTAAGAGGATGCTCATCGGGGGTTTCGCTCGCTGTCCTTCTTTCCCGTTCGTTGCCCTCGCGCCCCCGCGCGCGAGAAATCCGATGAAATCGCTGTAAAACATCGTCTTGCTCTACATCGACGGAATATCATTTCGTCGACGCGAGAAATCGCGAGGGAAAAAAGTGAAAACACTCTCACAGCCGACGTCTCTCTGTGGAGAAGAGGGTGGGGGCAATTTTCACGCGAGTGACTTGTTTTATCGTCGGCGATGACGCGTGCGTGAGGGATTTACTGGTGGCGGTTTTTATATTTTCGGGGTTTGTTGGCGCGGTAAGGTAATTGAGCAATTATGTGTCATCACTTTCCTTCATTTGAGTTGGTATAATGACAGTTTAATGTGCATTGTTTCTAAACGTCCCCCTCGTGCCTCCCCCCCCCACCCCGTATGAAGATGTAATGTCGACGCCTTAACGATGTAGCGTATTTGAACGGGTTGATACGAAAGTAGAGTGTGAGAGATCACTGCCCGATGATTTTTTTGTCACGAGTTTGTGTCAAGTAGCAAGTAAGTGGCGACGCCAGCCGCGCGCGCGTGTGTATATATGTGTGCTGCGTGTGGTGATGGAGCAAGCCTGATACGGGCAGGCACTGGTGAACTCGTAAACGTTTACGACTGTGCATCGGTGTGTGTATGCATCGCGTAGATTTAGCGCCGGTTAGGGTGGAAAAGCTCTCTAGCAAACAGGCCGTGCTCGCGTTTCCCCTGCCTCGGCATGATGCTGCTAATATACGCGCGCGCGTGGTGGCTTTTTGCGCGCTAGTTACCCGGCGGTGTCACAACAGCGGCGAGGAAAGCTGCGAGGAAATGGGTTTATTGCTCGTGCTTATTGCACCGATGTATTTACTGTGATTAGCACTCGGCTGATACGGCTGGCGAAGAGCTTCCTGACTATAAGTGAGAATGACTGCATATATATATATATATATGTATATACCTAGAGCCCGATGCACTGCTTTGCGAAATATGGCGTGTGTGCGTGCATGCGTGCGTGACTGCGCACCTGTCTCCTTGTCCGTGTGCGTGCGTTCGTGCGTTCGTGCGTGTGTACTTGCGTGTTGGCGTACGTGACGGTGGGTGAGCCTGCTTGTATATAAAATAAGTAAAATAATATACACTTATTCTATTATATATATATATATATATATATATATATATATATATAATATATGATATATGATATAATACACACACCGCATCGTTTTGTGTCTTTGAAGGCTACTACGATGATTATAAACCTTTTTTTCCTTATTTTTGCATTATATCGTAGTTTCAATACGATATGGATAGTATCAGGAGTGAATCATAATAATCCATTATTATCTACTCTTGATAGTATTAACTCGGAAATTAGTAAAGGATTGCGTATGCAAATTTTACTTAAAACGCAGCGCTTCAATATTCGGGGAGTAAGCCTCTTTCACGGTTTCTGTCACGCAATTTTTTTTCCAGTGCGGAGTTTTTTCTGCATGTGAGTTTTCACCCACTGTATGCTTTACGGCACTTTTAGTGCTATTAGCGTGTCAGGGCGCTTCGACACGTGAAGGACTCGGTGCCTCGCTGCATGGGGTCTGTAAGCGGTTGGCTTGTCCTCTCGTGAGCCCCTAGTTAGCGTGTGCGTACTGACAGCTATTGCCAAGTACTCGCGCTCATTGATATATTTTATTCCTGTTATTGCATGCAGGAGAAGTTGTTCTCTGTATTTATTATGCGGGTATAGGTGCGTCCGCGCGTGCATGCTGAGGTGCGAGTGTCTACGTGTCTCTGCGTATGTGCGTGTGCGTGCGTGCGTGCGTGCGTGCGTGCGTGCGTGCGTATCTGGGTGCATGCGTGCGCGCGTGCGTGCGTGTGTGCGTGCGTACGTGAGCGCGTGCATGTGTGCGTGCGTAAGCGCGTGCGCGCATGTGTTTGTGTGTTTGTGTGCGTCTCCGCGTCTCGTTGCGTTTCGACTGCCGCCATGCTGAATTGTCATTTCCACGATATGCGTATTCCACCTCTCACACACCCCGTCTCCCCTTCTGTCTCGTTGCAGGGGCAAGTTTGGCACGGTGAAGAAGATCCGTCACCGCACCACGGGCATCGTCTACGCGGCGAAGTTCATTCGCAAGCGTCGACGAGGGGAGGACTGTCGCGCCGGCATTCTGCATGAGATTGCCGTTCACGAGATCGCGCACGACCACGCGCGCCTCATCACGCTACACGACGTCTACGAGACGCACCACGAGATCATACTGGTGCTCGAATAGTAAGTCTGTAACTGCTGGCGGGCGTCAGGTCGTAGGGTGAGGGAGGGTGAGCGTAGGGTGAGCGTAGGGCGAAGGAGGGTGAGGGAGGGTGAGCGTAGGGCGAAGGAGGGTGAGGGAGGGTGAGCGTAGGGCGAAGGAGGGTGAGGGAGGGTGAGCGTAGGGCGAAGGAGGGTGAAGGAGGGTGAGCGTAGGACGAAGGAGGGTGAGCGTAGGGTGAGCGTAGGGTGAGCGTGGGGTGAAGGAGGGTGAGCGTAGGGCGAAGGAGGGTGAGGGAGGGTGAGCGTAGGCGAAGGAGGGTGAGCGTAGGGTGAGCGTAGGGCGAAGGAGGGTGAGGGAGGGTGAGCGTAGGGCGAGGGAGGGTGGT